CTGTCTGACGCGTCTGCCTCCGCGACCCGGAAGGAGAAGCGGCGATGGAAGATGAAGATGAAGAAGAAGAAACAGGAAATATCGTTACTTAAACTGACGCAGACTTTGGAAGCTAGGCAAGATGGATGGATGCTCGCGGAAAACCATATGTATGATGAATATCCCGGAAAGAAAAAGTCTCAAGCCTCGCATCAAGTCAGGTCAAGAAGCTATGCGAAAAAAACCTCTGGAATTGTGCAGCTTGAGGGAGGGGAGGACACACCCCTGATCGCCAGTGTACATGTCGGCATCATTACAGAAAAATGTTGGCTAAACAGCGGAAACATTAATATTTCGGTTCTGCACAACTTCAACCGTGACAAAAAATACAAACTGTGTAGGGATTGGATGAGCATTATCGTCCCTGTCGCACAGAAAAACTATTTAACCGACAGCAGGGGCCAAAAGCTCGTTATTCATTTCCGAACCTACGATCAGCTGCAGACGACCGGATTCAGCTATGAACATTTCTTACTTTTTTCTTTATGAAGGCCTTGAAAGACGGGTCGATTCTTCGTCGTGAATCATTCGTCCCTTCCTTGATATTTTTCAATGTAGTTTGGAATATGAGGCGAAAATCTACCATTATTCTCAATAACGATGTTACGGAATTGAAAACAGTAATAGAGATGTTGCTAAACCCGCGCAAAGGCTCATGTACAAAAAGAATAAAGAACTATTAAATCCCGTACATAATTTAGCGACAATTTAAGAAAAATATAGCCCATTCACACCGTATCACCTGTCCACATTTTGTTGCCAAGGTCGATTCAACCGGGACAATCTTGAAGTAGTATGCATAAGAGCCGTAATGTTAACGAAACTACATTATAAAAAATTAAGACAACGCAACCTGATTTCAGAAGTTTAGTGGCTTATACGGTTCCGTGTCAGGACTGTGCTTTTGGCATGATTAGCTGCAAAGAAAAACTAGGGAAGAACCATTTCCCGCCGTTGCTGGGAACGGAAAAGAATTGCATTAATCACTGGATCAACATTTAACATTCTGGCGTGTAAATACACAAAATCGAAATCTGTAACAGACAAATTGTACACTATTTTGTTAACGTAACAAATGTGACAGCTACAGAACCATATAAAAGTTTGTTTATCTCGTCATGCTACAATGCTAAGATAACTTCTATTTGCGTTTCCCCTATCGTAAGTACGTCTGAGTAATAATTGCGTGTAATGTGGCGCATTATTACTTTGTTACTATGAATTTGTTGTGAAGAAGATGAAGACTGTGATTTTGATTATGCTTTACTTTAAATATCGTGCTTCGTTACATGCTTAAAGTAAACATCATTGAAAACCATGGTAGAATTTGTCTTGTAATCATCAGTTTGTACGTACCTTCAAACAGAAACAAACCTTCAGATGATCATCTTAGATATATTTAAATTTATTGTTAAAATTTGATAATATCCAGGATTGGATTTTTATCTCCGATATTGTTTAAGTGTTTGATTACTATAATTTAGTAATAAACTGTATATATATTTTGATTTAGCTCAATTTGGCATAGTCCCCCGCGAGATTCTTCGACCATTGCGCTCTTCCAGCCCGCACAACTTCAGCGGCAGTCTGATCAGCTTCGACAGTTCTCCGGAGTCCTCCAAAACAGCTCCGGCTAGTCAAGTTTTGCTACCCGGTGCGGCTGAACTACAATGTACGTTCTCTCTTAATGATTCTAATTCAACTCGGTTCAACCATCGAAGCAGTGGCCTGATCCCTCCTTCCACTGTCATCGTGGATCGAACTAAAAGTATGACTTTCAATGAAGACAAGATTCCCCGAAAAATGTCCAGAATTGGTGAGAACTTAAAACCGTCTCGTCCTGCGCCGCCTCCTCCTGGCCAGAATTCATCGTCGGAGGCCATTGACCCGTCAGCGAGTAAGCTGAACAAAAGTATGACCGAATTTTGTCTGGTCGATTTTGACTTCTCCGCGTCTGGACCCAACGAAGTCACTGTTCACGCACAGGAGCTGGTGGCCGTTCATTCCAAGCAGGATTTAGAGGGCAATCCTGATTGGTGGCTGGTCGAAACGGAAGATGGGGACATTGGATACGTCCCCGCCAATTACCTGTCTTCATACACCTTTGTCTGAACTGAACTAGACTGATCTGATTGCTGCTCACCGACTTTGTATTCGATTAGATTTTCGAGTCCTGCGTCGTACAACGTTTCGCATATTCTTTTTTTTATTTAGTTATTTTTTTGTGACTGTTTGTATTTTTTTCCGACTGTTTAGTTGTCGCAGTTTTTTGATACTGCTGCAACAGCGCTTTGCATAATTTTACAGTTTTACTCATTTCGCAGCGGTCGTTTTTTGGTATGCTTGAAGTACAGCTGTGCCGTGTTTTGATGGCATTGTTGTGCTGTTTTGTGATTTTTGCAAATGTATTGTATTAATGACTATCAATGTTTTTTTAAATGCTGCATCCGCGACCTTTTAGTGTTATACTGATTTTTAGTGTTTAATAGTACGAATTTGATATGCCAATTTAATTTTAAGTACCTCGGAACTATATTTACTAGTGATGGAAAGTTGGAGGAAGAGATCGACCGGCGAATTGGTG